TTCCAACTGCCCATTGGCCCTGTTCCTGCTGTTATCAACCTGAATTTCCATAAACCAACCAACACCTGTTCCCCAGCACTCCTCCAACATCTCTCACCCACCTTTCTGAGCGCTTCAAGAACAGTTCCCCCCTCCTGAAGACTTCCTTGGCTTAGAGATAAGTACTAGTAAGTATTATTTCTTTGTTTCTTCAGTTGTAGGCTATTTCTGGGCATACTCCTTTATTACAAAGGACCAGAACATCAGTACCACCCCTGTAACCCAGGACCTGATATTAGAGGGCACCTTAAAAACCCCTGTAACTCAGGCCCCTCTGTAAATAAAAACTTAACAGTTTTTATTTACTTTTTACCACACTTCTACCCACTTTTCACGTGTCACCCACACGTGTACACCTCTGAATTCATCCTTGCACCTAGTGTAGCTAGAAGAGTTTCAGCTCTTGGCATCACTCAGGCTGACAAGATTTTTCAACGTTCGATTCGAGTTTTTCTTCTACCAGAAGTTCATTGTGATCAATTGAAGGTTTATCCGAGGGAACAAAATTCAGAAATGTGACACTCTTGGAATTGACAATTATTCCAGCATCAGTAAGGATGCGATAAGATCTAAGTTCAGGATTGAAACCGACGAGAGTACCAGATTCACCACGAGGCTCAAGCTTGAGTTTTTTCTTATTGTGAGAGGATAGTACCGATGTGGTGTTCTAAACGGTACAGGCCCCCTCAAGGTCCAATTTCAGAATTCAATTTTCAAATTTTCAATATCCTCAAGACTCAAGATTTCAATATTATCACCTCAAATCTCCACTCAGTCCAATGGTTTCCTCATTTTATTATTTTTATTCCATTTCCTCTTATTATTTATCTTCATATTATTTTTCACTCATCTTGATTTTATTTCTATTTTATCATTTTATCATTCTTTATTATCTTTTTCAAATCACTTACTCAGAAGACAGTCTTGTTTAATTTTCTTGGTCCTAAGACATCTTAGTATGTTGGTTTATTTCACTCTTGATTGTATTGTATTGTATTGTATTGTTTTGTTTTGTCTTGTTCTGTCTTGTTCTGTTGTGTAGTGTTGTGTAGTGTTGTGTAGTGCTGTGTAGTGTTGTGTAGTGCTGTGTAGTGCTGTGTAGTGTTGTGTAGTGTGGTCTTGTTTTTCTTTTTTGGTTGAGTTGTGTTGTAGTTAGGGATGTGATGACATGTCTGTGACATGTCACTCCCCAGAGTCAAAGTTCAGTTTGAACTGAGATGATGGGGAACCATGGCACTCTGATCTGATCCAAGATAGACCCATCATTTCTTATTGATCTTTTCATTATTAATCCATCTGATCCTCATACACACCAATCCTCAAGCTCAACAACCGCCACAGAACTCAATTTCTGTTGTCTCCTCTCAGAAAACCAACCAACCCCAACACATTTCTTGTTCAGATCACAGCTCAATTTATCCGGACCCCACTTGAAGGCAGCCCTCAAAGCAATTTCCCTTCAACCAACTGCCTACCGCCTGGCACGATAGGAGTTCCACACAGAGACGGGATTGCCGATAGGATAGAAAAAGTTGAGAGGTATCTTCCTGTTTTTGAAGAGTTCATAGAGCGATTTCTTGCTCCTATGAGAGGGAACTTGATTAAGAGTCAAAGTGCAAGCACTCAGAATTTCGTTCCACAGGTTTTGTCTGAGGCCTGAATCCAAAATGATAGTGCGCAAGGATTCGAGAATTGTTCTGTTGAATCGCTCCGCCAACCCGTTCTGCTGAGGAGTATAGGCATCAGAGAACCTTTGTCGAATTACATGCTCATGGCAGAATCTTTCCATATCAGAGTTGACAAACTCGGTCCCACGATCCGAGTGAAGAACAGAAGGGTAGTACCCAATTCTCTTGGCTTCTACATCAAGAAGTTGAGAGAGAGAAGAGAACACATCTCCTTTGGAGACCAGAGGAATAGCTGACACAAAGCGGGTGTTGCTATCAACCATGGTTAGAATGTATCGATGCTTCCGATGTGACACAGGTGTGATCGGTCCGATAAGATCAAGATGGATTTCCCCGAAGGGCTTGGAGGCCAAAGAGAATCTTGATTTGTAAGAGGCGCGAGTAATTTTTACCAATGCGCAAGATTTGCAGGCTTCAGGAGCGTTGATTGGAATGCCGATCTTACTGCGAATGCGTCAATAGCTAACATGTCCAAGCGATTTATGGAGAAGTTTGGCTGTACTCAGGTGCGAAAGTTGATTACGAGACTCAAAGTTGATAACAGGAATATTACAGTGATAGTTTCCTTCAAGTAAGAGTTGCTCATTTTGATGCACAGTGAAGTGATTAGTGAAGAATTCGACCTTGCATTGCTCAAGTAAAAGGTGTTGAAGAGAGAGCAGATTGACAGATATCTTAGGTACAAAGAGAACATTGTGAAAGATGACAGGAGAGTTCTTAAAGCAGAGAGAAATCGATCCTTTCCCTTCAATGTTCAACGTGTTCGATCCGCAGCTGGTATTTATCATTCCTTTTTCGGTTTCATCTAGATATATGAAAAGTTCCTTGTCAGAAACCATATGAGATGTAGAACCGGAATCTAGAATGAAGACATTTGGGTGATGAGAAGAGAAGGTGGAAAAACTGCTGACATTCGATCCTTGGGTCTTCTTTAGATATGCCTCTTTCTTCTCGGGATAGATTTTCCAGCAATTATCTTTGATGTGAGTTTTAGAGCGAGGGTTATGATAGCCAGGCGAGCAGAGAGTATCGTCGCTAGTGAACATGGCAGACTCAATTGATGCAGATTTGCTGCCTTCGGATACACGGAGTTTGTTGAGATGAATCTCCAAGTGATCAATAAGAACATCGGGTTTAATATCCTCGCCGTCCTTCGAGTGAGTGATCTTTTGTTTGATATTATCAAGGCTTGGAGGAAGTCGCCAAAGGAGATCGTAGGTAAGTATGTCATCAGGCATATCGATCCCGACATCCTCCATTCGACCAAGGGTGCTTCTTACTTCGGTAATGAATTTCTCAATGTTGCTAGGTTCGAAAATGAAGCTAGCAAATGAATTGTAAACTCGAGCTCGGTTCGATGGTTCGTTTGAAATGAATTGCTTCAAGATGCTCTTCCACAGCAACTGAGCGTTTTCTTCGTTAGTGGACGTGACAACATTCTTGTGGGTGGTCGTCAAGAGTTTAGCAAGGATAATGGCACACAAGATTGTATTATCAACGTCGTCTAGAGCAGGTTCGCCATCGATAATTTTGTCTTTAAGACCACCAAGTTTAAAGAGAGCCGTTATTTGAGTCTTCCAAGCCGAAAAGTTTTCTTCGGTAAGAACCGGAATAGCCTCAATCGTCGTCTTCAAAATAGTAGGATTGACGGCGTCCATCGCAACGAGTATTAGAGTCTGGTTTGGTGTTAGGTAGAGTCGATTGTTCGCTTAGCGTTTTTTGACTGTTAATCGTGAAGAATTTTTGATGATATTTCTAAGAAACCAAAACCAGACTGATAAAGAAGCAAACAAGATCAGACAAGAAAAGAATCAGAACAAGACAAAAAAAGAATGAAATCAGAAAAAGAAAGCATACCAATAATGATGGACAAAAAAGGAAATGAAGTGAGGACTTGATTTAGAAGTAAGGAAGCACAATATGAGAATAGAGCAAACTGAAAAGAAAACAGTGATGAGGGGATTAGTGATTTCCTCATCAAACAACAATAGAGACAAGAGAAGGATTAAGAAAGGGAAAAAAGAAGAAGAGGGAGAACAAACAGCACGGTGATTGGTGTGATGCAAAAAGGAAGAAGGGAAGCCTGGACTAGATTCTGTGAGGTCACTGAATCAGATCTTGAAGGTGTAAGAGTTTGGAGTGAAGGAAAGAATTAGAGCTGGCGCAACAGTCAGGTCAGAGAATCAGACATTACTTAGTCGAGTCTTGAAGATAGATCTATAGTCTTGAGGCGAGTCTTGAGTACGATCTTAAATTTGAGTCGAGAGTCTTGTCGATTCTGGGGATCAAGTACAGGGGGAATGGAGTTCTTTTAACTGAAGAGAAGAGCTCAACCCTAACCGTTTGACTCAATTGCTGCGGATGAAAAAGAGAGAGAGCGGTGGGGTTTCACGAAGACTTAAGGTAGGTGACAGGTTCTGAGCAATTCAGTGACGGAGAAGTTTCAAAACTCAACAAAGGTCACATCTTCCATGATAATCACAGTAAAGATCTCACAATTAAATCTACTTCAAAAAGGGCACCTTTTCCTAACGCACATGTGAGTAACCTTTCTGAGTAACAAATCTCATCTGTCTAAGACCAGAAGCTCAAATGTGCATGTCCTATGGGCTAATCTCCCGGTAAAAATTGAAGTGAACGCAATTACTCATCACTGTGAGTAATTGAGAGTGCTATGTTTTTTTTTTTTTTTTTCCTTTGTAGTGAATTTAGGCCTATGGCATTGCACACTATGGATCTAAGAGAACATCGAGGAAGTCTGCTGCGCAAACCATGTACAACAATGAAACCGCTTCAAGGAAAGATAGCGAGTGGAGACAAAGACACGAGAATCAGGCTGTAACCGACCAGCAGACTCAAGTTAGATGAATAAAATTTAAAAATAATTGTTTTATGTAGTAATTTGATCCCATAAGATCAACAATAATCAATTGAAAACTGATCTTTATACCAAATATACACGCAAACTGATAAGCGCTGGACTATGACATCAAACAAAACAGTGGCTTTTTTGAAACAATAAGAGAAAAATCTATACAACATCTATGTGAATAACAGAAATATATTTGATGAATTAACAGGCTGCACACAGCAATCACTGGTGAAGCATGTTCAAAATTAGGGATGGCTTCCTCTTAGTCTTTGACCACCGGGGTACCATAGATTTAAGGAGATAGAGATACGTGCCAGAAGTAACGCTATACACATTAATAAGTATCTTTAGAAGGATAAAATAACACTTCGAGTGGTGGGTAGTTTTCAAAATATGAGATACTATATTCTACCTGCAGAAAGACCTGAACCGACGGCACCAGTGATTCTTGCTGGGAGGGAAAGTCCGCCTGCCACAAGCCTGAAATGTTATCAAGAAAAAAAAATGTATGGTGTGGATGAATATGCATGATTCTGGGTACAGATGCCAACTATGCTTGATGAGAGATCGATGTAAAAAAATTGGTTGGTATACGTACCCTTTTGTTACCGCATCCAGAACCAATGCAGATGTTTTTGGCTTTTGAGTAACTACAATCGGCCTGCCGTCGCCCCCGCGACAACATCCGGGATATAGGAAGGAATCAAGTCCGCAGGAGGCGGGATAGATGCAAGAAAGAAAAATCAAGATGGTAAGTAGACAGGCCACATTAACGATGGATATAGAATACCTAGGAGAGATATTTGCATACACTGCTGTTGGGGCTACTAGTGCGGGCGGAGCGATTTGCACAGGAAGACCTACGCTAGGCTGTGGGAATGGCACAGGAGCACCAAAAGCTCCGCTGCGGAGATATAAGAATTTAAAGAAAAGAAGAATAAGCGGTTGATGTTCAAATTGGATTGATGTTTTATCCATTGGAACACGCATGAATCACATACCCTGCTGTTTGGAATCCCGCGTTGGACTGTGCAAATTGTGAAGAAGCACCGTAACTACCGCTGCAGAGATAAAAGATCAAAAGAAAAGAAGATTGAATGGTTTTCGTTTGAATTGGCTTGATATTTTTTCCACTGGAACATTATTATGCGACATACCCTGCTGTCTGGACTCCTACGTTGGGTTGTGCAAATTGACCAGGTGCACTGAAAGCTCCGCTGTAGCGATAAGTTATTGGAGAAAGATCAAGCAATCCGTGTTGATGTTAGCTTCGGTATTTTGCTCACTGGAACTAATGGACAACATACCCCGGTGGTGGGGCTCCTCCACCGGGCTGTGCGAATTGCCCAGCAGCACCGAAACCTCCGCTGTAAAATTTCAAAAGAATTGAGAAAAAGAATATAAAGCGATTGAGGCTTGGATCAGCTGGTTGTTTTGTGACCTGTAATGCTAATGAAGGCCATACCCATTGGGCTGTGCGAATTGCCCAGGAGGGCCGAAACTTCCGCTGTAAAAATTTGAAGGATTTAAGGAAAATAATATAAGGCGATTGATGCTCGGGTTAGCTGGTTGTTCTGTCCCCTACATTGCTCATGGATGCCATACCTTGTTGGTGGGGCTCCTCCATTGGGCTGTGCGAATTGTCCAGGAGCGCCGAAACCTCCGCTGTAGAGATTCAAAAGAATTAAAAAAGAAGATAAAGCGATGGATGTCCCAATCAGCTGCAAAGTTTTGTCCACTAGAAGGCTGATGAATCGCATACCCTGTAGGTGGGGCTGGTGCACTGGGTTGTGCGATCTGCCCAGGACCAGCGAAGCCTCCGCTGTAGAGTTTTAAAAGATCGAAAAATAAAAGGGTAAAACGGTTGTAATTCGAATTATCTTTTGTTGACTGGAACGCTAATGGATGACATACCCTGTTGTCTGGAATCCGGTACTGGATGATGAAAATTGCTCAGAAGAACTATAACCTCCGCTTTGGAGACAAAACACAAGATTTGAATAAAACAAGTCCAAACGGTTGTATTTAATACAAATTAGCTTGGTGTTTTGTCCACTGGAATGCTAATGCATGGCATACCCTGTTGTTTGTATCGCTGCACTGGAAGGTTGTAATTGTCCAGGACCACCAAAACCTCCACTTAGAGATGATGCAATTGAGGTTCGAGATGGAAAAAGTAGATGAAGCAGTTGATGTGTGAATTAGCTTCGGAGGTTTGTCCGCTGGAACACTAATGGATGACATACCCTGTTGGTGGGGGTCCTGGTGGGGGTCCTACACTTGGTTGTACAAATTGCACAGTAGCACCGGTGCCTCTGCTGTAGAGTTAAGATATTCAAGGAAAAGAGATGATTTTTGCTTTGAGTTAGCAGTAATTTTGTCCTCAAGGACGCTGTTAATGGAGAGTTCGACATGCTGCAGACTTGGCTTCCGAACTCGCGAAGCTGTACCGGTCCAAAACTTACGTTGGTAGAGCCACACACGAGCTCATGAAGAGAATGGATAAATAGACCATGCATGTCATCGAGAAGTTCATGATAATTGATAAATAAATGGTAATGTCGCGTTTGTGGAAGATTGCTGCTATATGACGAACCGTACGTATGTATGAAGTACTAGAGGATAGAGTAATATATATTAGACTTTTCTTGGATTGTGGATTGTGAATGAAAGTGCCTAGCTCAGTCTTTTTGCGTCAACAAGGTTTCATTTTTGCCTCTGGGCACTGATCTATTGAGGTTACGGTCAGTCAAGCGTATAGTATGTAATCGCATCCCGCTGGGCCAGAGGCCGATGATGATAATCTCTCCGCCGAGCCGACTCTGGCATGATGTGATTTCCCTGGCCGGGTCTTCACTACACCCAACATTAATCTATGAAAAGGGTTCAAGTGTTGCGAACATGAGACTCGGCATAGTCTTGGTGTCTGGTGACCACTCCACACGAATGTCAATTGATGCAAGGTCAGAAAGTTCGTAATGCTCCTGTAACCCCGACTACAAGGCCGATAATGATAGGGTAAGGGACTCGATGGAGGACAAATCGATAGACTTGTACCCCATATCCGAGTGCGAACTTACCGTAGCGTGTCCCTTGGGCTCGCTCCGCGAGCTCTCTCCCGGATCAAGTCCGAACGTGTGTCTCGCTGCCACGGGCGCATCTGGTAGGATAACGCTGGCCAGGCGGTTTCATTGCGCCTTTTGCTAAATTCGGATGGCGAGAAATGAGAATGGAGTGTTTCGGTGAGGCAACATAAAATTTGTAACCACACAATCACCTCAAAACTCTATAGATGTTTGATTGGATTGTCTTGAGGATGATGGGCTGCATGATCCTGCCAATCCATCCAAAACTCAAAACTGGTACAGCAGATTGTGATTTTAAAACAATTTTATAAAATAACAGTTTGATCAACTTGTGCATGCAAAAGAATCCAACGTTAGTTGAGAAGTGATCATCATTTTCAAAAATAAATAGAAAGATAATGAGAAAGTTCAAAAACAAAAGGAGAAGACAGGAAAATGTGCAAGGAGGAGGGATTTCATGTCTGTGAAGTAAATTGGATAGATGTTAAATAAGTAGTGTGTAGAAAGAATGTAACAAAAAAAATGTGTTTTGGAAGGACCATGGAAACTCCTCATATATGTGGGTAATGCAAAATCCAGAATTTTGGTAAAATTCATACATTTTTGAAGCCCATTCATACATGTTTCATGCCTATGCTCAGAGGATTTCCAAATTTTTCACACATTTTTCATGCCTGAAATTTTTTTACAAAGAGCATTTTTTTTGGCAGATAGCCACTTTTGGTATCATCTGAGGTGCCAGATGCAACAAAACACTAAGACCAACCACAAAACACAACAGTAATGAATCACTTTATGTTGAATTTGAGTTGTACAACTGGAATTTTAGTAACCAATCAGGAAAAATGAGACTAATTTTTTCAGGCAGGGAAGTGTGCCCAGGGGGGGGGGGGTACAAAACTATTCTTCTTGGTCCCCCACAATTTCATACATCTACATTACTAACCCCCTAGTAAAATTGACATACATTAGCCCAGTTCACTATAGCCAGTTCCAATGGCTGATCACCTTGTTAAAAGTTGCTGAGAGCATTTTTTTAGGATGGATCTGAAATAATCTGGGGGAATTTGGACTACACATTCAAAAATGAATGTGTTTTAAGTATCAATGATTTTCTGATTACATCTTAAAATTTTGCTGATGACTGGCTATTGTGAAGTTTGGACCAGGCTATTTGTCAGCCTCTATGCTACTAACCTGTAAGGGCTGTGCTCTGAGTGTTAACAAGAAGAATAATGAAGAAGATTTATTTGTGGTTAAATCCCTCAACCTGTAAAAGAAACAGGGGGGAGTCACTGAGGAATGGTACTTTTACTGCTGACTCATCCAATTATTCAATTGGGCATCCAGATCAATCCTCTTGCATGGATTAATAGGCTTCCAAGGTTAAGGCTTCTTCAACTCACTTGGGATAAGTCTTTTAACAACAATTCAGATTAATAAGTGTATCAACACTTAAGGACCAGAATTGCTTAACCTGGGGGATAATTCTTTATGCAATAGAGATCAGTAGAAATGCCTTGAATCTGAGCAAAGTAAATCTATTTAGGTCTAAGGTAGCTGGATTGTAATGTTATTGGTGGGTTTAATCACTAATAATCACGGTACAAGTGTTGGTTTGATGCTAATAGAATTTCCTGGGGGAAAAAGGTAGGAATCAGGGCTCCTTAAATATTCTACAGAGGGCTCAGGGGAAGAGGAGAGGCACTCAGGGCACTAGGGAGCTTCTTAGCAGCTCTACAATTTTGTGTAAGGATGGGAGCTGTAGCTGTGCAGTGCTATGCATTGATGGAAGGTCCTAGGACATGATATCATACATGTATAATTGAATTTATGGCCCATTTCTCACGTAATTGAAAGAGCTACAGTTACTGTGCAGGGGATGTGCAATTGTATGTTTAGTTGCATACGTTTAACTCTGCTTATGCAAGCTTGTAATCATGAGAAATTCATGTGCTGCGTTCATAATTCAGTCTTGCATGTAGAATTTCGGCTCCTTTCCCATGTAGGCTACTTTGAATTAGAGCACAAAAGGGTCCTGATGACGCCATCCAAGAGGTTTATAATGCAATCTGATGCCCTGATTATGTGATCAAGGATGGGTAAGCTTCAGATAAGTTTATATAGCTTATTCCTCATCCATCTCACGCTTCTACTAGCTGATTCTTATACATATGTAATTAGTTTATGGCTTATAAAATATGTACATAATGTATAATAATAGATATTATTTTAATACCTTATTCTAATGATATTTCTGTGAAATCCTAGTGATATTATATGTACAATACTCAAGGGGATTTCACAGTTAACTATTGAATTGTTAAATATAATTTATGAAGGGCCTTAATAAAAACCCCTGTTTTTCCGCGTTTTGACGCGGTTTTGCTGCGGCACAGCACACGTGGTTTCCGTGTTTTAACGCGGTTTTTTAATTAATTCATTTTTGCCATTAATTTCGAGTTTTTTTGATTTTTTGAAGTTCTTTCCTACACTATAGAAGGTGTAGAATTTAATGGTAAAACCCATTTCCCACAAAAATGACTTTCAATTCTTAATTTTTTCTTTCACTCATTTTTCAATTAATTGTTTGCATGCATGTATGTACCTTATTTTTTATGTTTTTTTGGAATTTTAAATTTATTTCCTAGGTTTTAATGCGCATAGAATTTAATGGTAACAACCAAATTTCTTAAAACTCAACGGTTCATTTTTAATACTGAAATATGACATTTTTTTCACTTAAATTTTTACAGCTTAATTTTCATTCTTTTTTGACTTTTCAATTTTTTTTCCTACACTTTAATACATGCGAAAAATTAACCATTTTACGTAAAAATCATAGATTTTTATTGAATACTGCGTTGGACATGTTTTTTTTGAGGTTTTTTTGATTGATTTTTACCAGCTTAATTTTGATCATTTTTTGAAATTTTAAATTTATTTCCTACATTTAAAAGTGTGTAGAATTCAATGGTGAAGTTCAATTTTTATAAAACTCAAAGCTTCAATCTTAATGTGAGAGCGTACACCGTTTCTTGCAAAATTTGTACCGTATACAAATTTTATTTGAATGCAAAATGAATACAGCCATCAATTTCAAAACCTTTCAAAGTGTAGGAAATGAACTTAAAATTCCATAAAATAAGGATAATTAAGTGTGTAAGAATTAATTAAAGAAACATGTCAAAGGCTTTATTCAAGGTACAGTTTTTATTTTTGATGCAAATTGATTGATACCATAATTCTATACATGTCTGAAAGTGTAGGAGACAAATTTAAAATGTCAAAAAATCATGAAAATTAAGCTCTCAAAAATCAATTGAATATCAAGGCTGATTACAGTATTCAGAATGAACCGTTGAGTTTTATGGAAATTGAATGTTACCATTAAATTCTAAACACTTTGAAATGTAGGAAAGAACTTTAAAATTTCAAAAAATCATAAAAAATAAGGGCGTTAATAAAAAAACGCGGTAAATCCGCGTTTACACGCGGTTTCTGCTGCGCGCAGCACACGCGGATTCCGCGTTCACACGCGGTTTTTTAATTAATTTTTTCCTGCTTATTTTTCAAGTTTTTTCGAAATTTTAAAATTGTTTCCTAGGTTTTAAAGTGTGTAGAATTTAATGGCAAAGACCATTTTTCATAAAAATGAATTTTAATTATTATTTTTTTTTTCCACTCATTTTTTCCATTAAATGTGTGCATACATGTTTTTACCTTATTTTTCATGTTTTTTTGGAATTTTAAAATTATTTCCTAGGTTTCAATACGTGTAAAATTTATTGGTAACATCCAATTTCCATAAAAATGAATGGTTCATTCTTAATAATGCAATTACACCCATTTTTTCACTTAAACTTTTAGAGCTTAATTTTCATTCTTTTTGGACATTTTAAATTTTTTTCCTACACTTTAAGACATGTTTAAAATGATGGTAACAACAATTTTTCATCAAAATGAAAAGTACATCTTGAATGCTGCATTTGACATGTTTTTTTAATTAATTCTTCACTTTTTCACTTAATTGTTTGCATACATGTGTGTACCTTATTTTTTATGCTTTTTTGAAATTTTAAATTTGTTTACTACATTTAAAAGTGTGTAGAATTCAATGGTAACACTCAATTTCCATAAAACTCAACCGTTCATCCTGAATACTGTAATTGGTCATATTTTTCAATTGATTTTTAAGAGCTTGATTTTCATTATTTTTTGACATTTTAAATTTGTTTCCTACACTTTCAGACATGTTAAAAATGATGGTAACAATCAATTTGCATCAAAATAAAAATTTTATCTAGAATAATGCCTTTGGCGTGTTTTTTTAATTAATTCTTACACGCTTAATTATCCGTATTTTTTGGAACTTTAAGTTCATTTCCTACACTTTGAAAGGTCTCCAAATTGATGGCTTTATTCATTTTGAATTCAAATTAAATTTGTA